GGCACAAGGGTCTTCGGCTCACAAGAAGGGCAACCCTGCAGGGAAGGTGTACCGTCCTGGTGAGCCCCACAGCACTGACCGCTTGGGCAGTGTGCCAACAGGCAGCGTAATGGGGAGCCTGGCTGGTGCCTCACTCGCTGGGGTGCACCCTGAATAAAGGGAGGTTTGCTCGTGGGCTGCTGGGCACCCCGTGCGTGGGCAGGCTGTGCACACAGGCCTGAGTTGTGCCACAAACCCACCTTGCTGCTGGTAGAGAGGCTGTCCACAGAGGGGCATGTGGGGGGATTGGAACGCGTCTTTTACGCAGCCGTGCTGTCAAGAAGCTATCCCATTCCTGTATTTGTAAAGAAGGCCTTGGGTAACGTAATAGAGCGTGAAAGAACGCGTATGCCTGTGCAGCAGCAGGAAGCCCAGCCAGGAGGCCATCTTGTGCAGCTGCAAGGGGCCTGTAGAGGAGGCCATCTTGTGCGGCAGCCGGAGGACCACAGAGGAGGCCATCTTGTGGCTGCCACACACTGGGCGTAGGGAGCAGTGACGCTGCACTGTAGCACTGGTTTACATGCTCAGGGCTTGGGTGGTGCAAGTTGTGTACCCTCACAACAAGAGGAGATTCTGTGTGGAAATAAATACACAGCCAGGCTCTAGTAATGTCTGCAGGTTGCCCTTGAATGCAGTGAAATTATGCAGAGCCACAAGGCATGTAGGAGCCATCTTCCCACCCGCGTGGAAAGGCCAAGCCCTGCTGGTGGGAGCAGAAAGCTGCCAGATCAGCGGTGGGCCAGAGCACAGCGCTGAGGCACAGAGGCCCTTGGCCTTCAGCAAATCTCCAAGCCCATGCAAGGTTTGGAAAGTAGATGAAACTTTTGGTTTGTATTTACAAAGAATTGTCATCATCTGATACTTGCCTGATGTGTTCCTCACTCCACTTTTTAATTGCATTCTCTGTATTCTGAAACAAGGCTAGAGGTTATTTTGCTTTTTTATAATTCTGCTATGTGATTGACTGCCCGAGTTGTCCAGTGCAGAGTCCAGGAAACTAGGAAAGATTTGACACAATGGGGGAGGTTCCTCACAACAAGCTAAAGTACACGTTACGTTATCAGGAAGCATATATTTCCAATAGCTTTTTGCTGGCCATTTGGGAACAGATGGCTGCTGTGGTGGGCTGTGCAGTGATGAGAAGGCCTCAGCAGCTTCTCCTACCTGAACCAAGGGAAGTTGGGGGAGCATTCTTGGGCAAGTTTTGCCATAGCATTCCAGGAGATTTTAGGCTGGTTGCAGCTTGTCAACTACGAGGATATTTTGAGCTGAACACTGGAGTGAAAAAGGAGGCCTAAAGATAGGGAAGAAACTGGGAGATAGGGAATAGAAGGTTTGAAAGGAGCTGCACATACTTGATAATGATTAGCTGTTTTCACAGTTGTGCAGTTTCTGACCTGCCATGTTTCCAGTGTTGCATCATGTGTGGAATTACTGGGAACCACCTTCTTTTTTTTTTTTTTCCCCATTTCATCATTGGTCATCTTTGGATTTTCATTTTTGCTTTATGCTTAGAGGAACCCAAAATCTCATAAAGAAGTTTAATGGCCTTAGTTTAAGGTGAGAATTTGTCTCCGCTTCCTGGGTCCAGGAGTTAAAAGACACTTGAAATAATATTTTTTTCCAAACTTGTGTTATGCAGCTCCACAATTTTTCTCTGTTTTAGGAGTTGATGGGGAGGAGGAGCTGAATGGTTCCATTCCATAATTTTGCAATCTTTGCATTTGCCCTAATTTTCAGTTTGAATTCTCAGATTTAGTCTTCCTACCCTAATCTCTTTTGTTTGATTAATAAAGTCCTAAAACAAGTCACTATTGAACGTGGGAAGCTTAACTGAATCCGCTCCACAGATCCAGTCTAACCTGCTGTTTTTTTTTTACCAGTAGGTGTGAAATGAGTTACATGGTAGAGGTATGTGGTGGAGCCAACCTGCTGTTTTGCCTTCTGTCCGTGGCACAGGCCAGTGCACCGAGTCCCTTTCTTTCACTCAAGTCCTCTCCTACATTTTAAGCAAAAGACTGACTGAAGTAATTGATTCTTCAGGTTTGACAGTGACTGCTGTGAAGGACTTTGGGGAGTGGAACTTGGAAGCTGGAGCACTGGTGCTTGCAGATGGAGGCCTTTGTTGTATTGATGAGTTCAATAGTATCAAAGAACATGACAGAACCAGTATCCATGAAGCAATGGAGCAACAAACCATCAGTGTTGCAAAGGCGGGGTAAGTGACATGTTAACATATGTGATAAAATAACATAAGATGTTTCTCTTGTACTTACAAGTTGGAGGGAGGTTTGTCGTGCTGATTAAATATATCTGTTTTCTTTGTTGTACTTAATAGTTTTGTTCTCAGCAGAATTCTTAAATTAGATGAGTCAACATTTTGAAGGACAGTGCACGGGACCAGAGGTTGCAAGTTATCAGAATAAATACATACCCTTTTCACTGTTGGGTTTTCGATCTACCACTGTAGGCCAGGGCACTTTCCTAAGAAGACCTGGTGTTCTTTTTCTTGTCCTTTGCTGCGAGTGGTCATAATAATCATATGTGAAATGAGGAACTTTGTGATGTTTTTATTGGAACTCAGAAAGCGGGACTTCATTTCTCCAAAATCCAGTAATACTGCATGGTAACAAAAGAAGACCAAGAGGTTTCCAGGCTGCTGATTTTTATATGTTGGGGATGGCATAAATATAAACTCCTGCTTACTTTAAGTCCCTCACTTTCAAAGTAGTGTGTGTTCAAATCTGCTGTTTCCCCTCCCCTGCCACTCTGATCTTTGAGCTCATATCTCATTCTGTCAGTCATATGCAGCTCTTGTCCAGGCCTAAATGACTTCCTGGCTGGTATTGCTGAAATCTCTGCTGCTCAAAAGCCATCACCCTTTCCATATTCCTCCTTGTCGCTTTCAACTCGGCTCTTGCTCCAGTCACATCTTCTTGGCTCCTCTAACTGATCACATCCTTTTTTTATTCCAAGCACCTCCACTGAAGCGCTTTTCACCCTCTTTGGCAGACAGTGGACAAGTAATGTCGCTCACACCTGGGAGATTACTAGCCTTTGCCAGTAATGCAGCTGGAGAGAAATATTTAGTATCAACATGGTCCTATCTACTTAGTAAGACAGCGACATATTTTAGCTAGGTTCCTTGTTGTAGTCGGTTGGGTTTTGTAGACCCCAAAACACAGTTTGCTAACTTGCACGTATAGTCTCAGTTGCTCGCGTTTAGAGATTACATATGAGGATTGTTTTAGTAGTAGCCTAACACAGATAGGTTAAGCACTTTGTTAATTTAAGATCTTATTTTGGTGCATGAGGCGCAAGATTTTTTTCCCATTGGATATAAGCTAATAGGAGATCTGTGGTCCTTCTTCTCAGTTACGGAAGAACTTTGGATGTGAGGCAGCAGTCACTCAGGAGCTGACTAGAAATAGCTCAGTGACAAACCAAAGTTAGAATACTGCTGCTGCTGCCTTAACTGAAAAGATTACATTTGGAGTACTAGAATAGAAATAATCTCTCCCCACATCTAAAAACACATGCCAGGATGGCACGGTTAAGAGAGGAAAATGGCTGTTTCCCTGGAGAAACAGTTGATATGGCTGCCATCGTCGTTTGGTTGGGTTCATATATGTTGTTTACACACAGGAATAAAACATACATTTGTATTACATTTTATTTTACATTCTTAAAATGTGAATTAAGCTAAAATGTTACTTTCCATCATAAAAAAAGTGTTTCTGTACTGTATAAATCAGCAAAGTAATATTTATTTCTGAAAAGTTATGTTGGTTTTCACCATTTAAGGACCCAGCTGTATGTAGAGTTTACTCATGGCAATATTGCTTAGTCGCTTTTGGTATCCTGTTCACTATCGTTCTGTCTAGTTGCTATTCTCTGACTGAGAAATGCTGTATGTGTAATATATATTAATACAATAATTGTATGTATTGTTTAGCTCTTATGGTCTTTCAAGGTAACATGTGCTCTTTATAATGTAAAAATGTGATAATTTATAACACTTTGAAATCATTTCCCCTACCCAATTTAATTCAAGTATAATGTTGACCATACTTTTCTCTAGCTTGGTGTGCAAACTTAATACGAGGACAACTATCCTGGCAGCAACAAACCCAAAAGGCCATTATGACCCTAATGAGTCTGTCTCTGTCAACATAGCTCTTGGCAGTCCCTTGTTGAGCAGATTTGACCTGGTCTTAGTATTGTTAGATACAAAGAACGAGGAATGGGACCGCATTATTTCATCCTTCATCTTGCAAAATAAAGGTAAGAGTAGTCTTTTTAAATGATAAGGTAGGTTTTTGTTTGTTTAATTTCCCCACCTTTCAGTTTAGTTTGTTGTTCTTGAGTCTTCCATATTACCATAGAATCATAGAATGGTTTGGGATGGAAGGGGCATTAAAGATCAGTTAGTTCCAACCCCTCTGCCATTAATCAGTGTTTACATTTTTGCTATGGTAGTTTCCTGTGGTATGGTTGTTTTTCAAGGAGGAATAAGAGAGAGATCACTGGTTAATTAATAGAGGTGAGCTGAGAACACTATACTTTTACTCTATGATCAGTTACAAGAGATTTCGTTCCAGACTGCTCAGTAAGTGGATAGTCTCCATCTTGTGCTCTTCCATTTCTTGATATGCAGATCCTACACACCATGCAATTGTACATGCTGTTAATCGGAAACTGAATTCAGACAGAACAAGTCCGAGCTGCCTGTGCTGCAGGGCTCAAAGAATGAACAACAGTGTTCCCTACGTGGAGCTCTGTGCTCTGGAATTAGGGAAGGCAGTGTTACTTGATTTTACCCAGCCCCTTCTCCATCCACTTCAGGAATGTGACTTTGATCCCCATTAGGGAAGAAGTGGTTAGAGGAAACTTCTTCAGCTAGCTTCCTTCCCTTCCCAAAATGTTTCCCTGCAAAAAATGTTCAGAATATGGCAGGTAGCTTTTGGCTCTACAAAGTAGGTAAAACAGCCAGAGGAGGTACGTACCTTCATGTAGAATTTTACATGTTAAGGAATACTAGAGCACTTAGTACTGACTGTACCATCTGGTGGGCACTAAGCCTGACAGCAGTTCTGTTGAAATTACTGGAGGCTTTACTGTGGATTTTGATAGGGGAGGGATTGGATGGTGTGTAAAATTCCACACTGGAATTTGACCAAGTCCTTGAGGACTAGTGTACAGACAACCCGGTATGCCCCAAAAATACAGTAATGTGTCTTTCATAGTCACCGGTCTATTTAACAGGAATTCTTAGGAAAAAGTTTGATGTCTGTTGTTACAGAATTACTGACTGGGTAGTTGTAACGCAGGTTACCCAAGCAAATCAGAAAAGCTCTGGAGCATGGAAAAGATGAAAACCTACTTTTGCCTTGTAAAAAGTATACAGCCAAAATTGTCTGATGAGAGCAACCTGATCCTTGTACGCTACTATCAAATGCAGCGTCAGAGTGACTGCAGAAATGCTGCCCGAACTACCATTCGCTTATTGGAGAGTTTGATACGCCTTGCAGAAGGTAAGGCCATGGCAATTTTATTTTTAGGCTAACAATTAACCTTTATAAAATGAATAGATCAGTAGTATAATTATAGCCAGTAAGCAGAGTAGCAGCTTTTCCAAAGACGTAGGGGTAGGTGATTCTTGTATTGTTTTATCTTTCTAATTTAAAGACACTTGGGGTTAGAGATTTTAAATGTGGGAAAGGGTGTTACATTTAGATTATCAAAATCAGTTTTAATTTTGCCGCTCTCACACCCATAATAAAAACTAAAACCACTGGAAGAAATCACGTTCGAGAGAAAAATCTTAGCACTTATGTGTCTTTATGAAAAGCAATCTCAGGATTTACTGTACTTCATTTGAGTCCTGGGTTGTCGTCTTACTTAGCCTGAGGAAAGGTATCAAGTTTTTGCTTCTATCCTAAAAGACTTCATTTGAGTCCTGGGTTGTCGTCTTAGCCTGAGGAAACGTATCAAGTTTTTGCTTCTATCCTAAAATTAATATAATATAAAAAATAACACACTTTTGTTTTCATAAGTATTAATAATCAAGTCTGTATTTTGCAATATGATTTCAACATTTCCGACTCTGAGCTCAAATCATATTTCATTTATAACAACAAAAACAAAGGAAGCAGTAGGTCTCTGTCTTAACATGATTTTGTTTTATAAAATAGCATATAAAATATTTTCAGGATCAATTTAAAAGAATGTACTGTATTTTTGTATAACAATCATAAATGGTCTTTATGCTTTTATATGCCCTTCAGCAATGTAGTGTTTCCTGCATCAGATGTTTATATTTTGTTCTCCATTTTGGGGGAAAGATTATTTAAGTGAAAGACATTCCTAACTTTTAGGGATTCACATGTTATTTTCACATTCAGTGTTTCTTCCATTCTTAGGCGTTCACATGATTGGGGCTTCTAGTAGCGTTTTGTTCTTTCAAAGTATTATCTAGGTGGTATTAATTAACCTGCCTTTCTCTTGCTGAATAAGAACTGCGTGTGTTTCCACGGCCAATTAGGAGGAGAGCTTCATGTGGTAAATTATTTGCATTATATCCCTTTACAAAAATGAGTTTTGTTTTGCTGACTTAGGAAAGGGAAGGAAGGAAAAATAAAGCTGTTGTAGAGAGAAGCATTTTAAATAATACTAAATTTGTGACACAGACTAGTTAGAGGAAATCAAATCTTTCCTGACCTGTGATGAAAATTAGACTTAATTTTTCACTTTACGGTGATGACACGTTCCTATATAGCTAGGGATGTTTCATATCACACTTTTTGTTGTGATATCCAGCACTTTACATTTTTTAACTCTACCATTTTGAGCACCTCTATTCGAACTGTCAGTGTAACTGTAATCCGGAAGTCACATTGCATTCTTTACTAGTAAAACTAAGCCTTCCAATTCCCATTGAAATTGACACTAAAATCAAAAGGAATATATATATTTTTATTGCTTTTTGACTTTGGTAACGCTTGCTTTCAATACCCATTTATTTTTGATAGCTCATGCCCGGTTGATGTTTAGGGATACTGTGACTTTGGAAGATGCTGTAACTGTGGTATCAGTCATGGAATCTTCTATGCAGGTAAGGTTTCTTGCAGACATTGCCATTGCTGCAATACCACATTTAAGGGATTCAGTTTATCATGTAGATATATGCCAGCTCCCTTCGTCTCTTTGGAGAGGGCTTCATAGACTCATGGAAATAGGTCATCAGAGACCTTGACGAGTCATTTTTAGTCCATCTTGATTATTAAAATCCTTAAACGGGGATTATACTGAAAAATCTGGATTGGTGATAAAGGCCTGGTACCTTTTTTTGTGTTTAATAGCCTCTGATGGGTTTTTTCTTCCGTGATATTGTCACTCATTAACTAGGCGTGAGAGAACCAAATAATTTTTTTGGAGCAAGTTTTGAACAGTTGCCAAGACCTACACTTTATTTTGCCATTAGATCATTTTAAAATATGTTGGTGGTGATACTAAAGCTCAGAACTTTTAGAAGACTAATTTTACTCTGAGAAACCTTAAAATTCCCAAACCTTGTTTGCCCTGAAGATTGTGCATTCCACTTATCATGTGGATTTGTGTAATGTTTCTATGTAAAAAGGCATTGAAAAAATGTGGAAGGCTAGATTTTAGTTTACTGTAACATTATTAGGATCTTGAATGTAAAGAACAAGCAACACATTTAGACTTAATAAAAGGAATGTGAATCTGATAGAGGCTTTTTGTTAATGGAAATGTGGAAAATCATACAGACACTTCAGATAGAATATGTTTAAGGGAAATAAATCTTCATGCTTTGGAGTAGAAAAAAAATTACTGTAAGGAGATTATCCAATGTTTTATGCATGGGGGTTTTTAGCATGTCTGAAATACTTGGTTTTGGCTCTGTGCGAGATGGTGTACTCCACTGCTCAGATGACTGGTCTGATCCAAAATGGCATTTCCTATGTTTCTGTATAGGTTGATATGAATATATTCAAATTAAAACAATTTTATATAGCACCCGTTAGCTCAGTGGACCTTAAAGACCTTTGCAGGAGTAGATATGCTCCTTTTTCGGAGATAAAGCTCTTCAGGATAGATGCACAAAGTCACATACGGCAGGTAGGCACTTGTGATCTCCCTTGTTCTTTCAATGAGGGTTGAGAGACTAATTGCAGTTTGTCCTATGGATAATCTACTGCACAGCGTTGCAAATGGAATTTGTCTCAAAAATACTACAGGGCCTGACCTTATTAAGTAGCAAAAGATTATTTCGCTGTCTGCTGCAATTCATCTTGCACTGTTTTGGAGAGCTCAGCTTTTCAATGACAGCAGTGCATCTAAGTTAAAATAAGAAGCTGTACTAATATATCCAGTTGAAACAGCAGAAGATATCACTTAAGTGTTCATTAACTGTAATTAAACCTGTAATTAGCCAAATGGGAATTTGGTGGGATAGTGGTTTCAAAGCAATATGGTTTTGGATATAAGAAATCTGAAATACTCTATTTTTTTCCATGATAGATCAAAAAGTGGAATGTATGTATAGAATAATAATGAACGTGTATTGTCATCTGTATATCTCTCTACCTCATCTGCATGAATAAATGTAAAATAATTTTTTTAACTGTGGGTCACTTTTTCATATTTATACAGCCCTGCCCTCAAGGGCTGCAGTTTGCATAATAAGCATCTGTCTAATAAGAGTCAGTGAGAAATTTGCCTGAACTATGACTGTGGAAGACTACCTGGGAGTAGTTGGTATGGTCATCGTATTTGCTCCACTTTTCACTTCTTATGAGCATGTAGGCAAATGCATTCATTTTTGCTAGGAATCTGCAAATTTGAGATCTGCTGTTCAAGGCCAAATTTTACTTTCCTCCTGGAAAGCATAAATGAATCACTGAAACAATTTCTTTTTGAAGGAAGTGATATATTTGTTTTATTAAAAAAACCCAGAAGTAACATGGAAAAGTTTAATTTCAGAAATTCAGATTCCTTCTCTAGAAAAAAACTGACTTCATGTATAGATATGTCCTGTGTTTCCTGCCTCATTGTCAGTCTGTAGAATGAGGTTGTAAATGGGGAAGTTCCAGTGTCATTCTTGAAGGATTGGCTGCCACATTACAGCTCAGCAAACTCTGTCTTCAACACTGTCTTTGCAACATCTACAAAAAGTCATATTCTTGCCAGTATAAAATGGAAGTTCACAGTTATCAGGTCAGTATTTCTTGTGAGCCCTCTTGGGAAGGACGACTATCACATTTTCATCACCAACCTAGTTCTTTTGGGTTTTTTGTTTGTTTTGTCCTCTAATTCACCCTTATTTTTCTCTTTCTTACTTTGTGAGCATATTCTAATCCCCTCTGGCTTGATCTTTTCTTTGCCTCATTTCGTCTTTGTTGACATTGTCTCCTTCCTTCTCTTAGTCATGTTTTCATCCTTGTTTTATTCCCTTTCCAATCTCTCTCCTTTTACTCCCTTTCTACATTTTGTCTTCCCATCCTTAGGCACTTTTACACCCTTCCTTTCTGCTAACTTTCCCTGTAATACTTTCGTTTTTCTCTGTTCTAGCTCCTCTGCCCTCAGTTCCACAGCGTGTGGATTTGTCATATGGCTACCTTTCTCTACTCGATATCTCGAAGTCTCAGAAGGGGAGATATCTTAGAGACGTAAGCACCAGCACAGGAATGAAACTTCACAGATATCTTCAATTCAGTTCCATCCCACTTAGAATTTCTCACACACACACAAAAGTGTGTTTAAAAGAAACTCATTGTGACAGCCAAGTAATGCACTGAGAAGTCAGTGAGGGCAAGACATAATTGTACCCATTGGGCATATATCTCAAGATACATAATCATGTATTCCTTTTTTTCCATTGGATCCTTAGGTCACAGGTTGACAGTACTCAAACCAAAAGCAACTATCATTTGTCAGGTTTTTTTCTCAGTGTTTTGTTTATTACCTGCTGTTCTAAAGGTAGAACTCTCAATTTCGTCATGTGTTTTTCTGTGGAATTCATCTCCAGTGCATTTGAGTATTTTCGAAATACCAATTCACTTATCTTCACGCAGTTCTTGTGAAGTGATGGGATGGAGCTTCTCCTGTTCTATGATCTGGAGCTGAATTATGCACAGTCCAGAAGCAATTGTCCACTGGAGCATACCTCATGGGAGATGGTTAGGCCCCAGGTTCAGAGTGGAAGCACTTTGAGTGTTTGAGCACATTTCCTGTTGACTACAGTTTCCTTCTGTGCACACACTACGTCAGGATCCCAGTTACAGATTTAGTGCCTTTCAAAACCTTTGCTTAACTGGATCATTCTGAATTACAAGAACTGGAACTTGGTGTCAGAGGGAGAATCTGGTTCTCCTTGGCTGCTTTTAACTGTTCTAACCAAGAGGCTGGACTTTCATTTCTACAGTCTCTGCCTCATTAACTTTGAACCTTCCAGTCCTTGAAACAAATGTGGCAGAGAGGATCTGCAATAACCTTTTCCATGACTACAGACTAATGCTTCTATGTGTAACAGATCTGTCATGTTTCTGAAGTGATATGCAAAAAAAACCCCAAGTGATAACTTCAATGGGATGCATTAATGGTTGCATGGACACCCTTAGTTTTAGCACTGTGTAGTTTTAGAGGGCTTTAATTAGCCACCAGAATGATGATTTTTCAATGTATTTTTTTTTTTAATAGAAAATGTTTACATTTCAAAATGGAAGAACCAGAAAATGCCACAAATGAAAATGTGGGGTCTGTGTGATGCCATATGTAGCAATCTCTGGTTCTAGAGACTCCATTGACTTTTGCTGTTGCTCTCATGGCACTTGATATGCATCTTGTTCATTAGTTTTATAGATTAGCTTTCATTAGCTTTATAGATTAGACAGGAGTGGTAAATGCTAGCTAATCTGTGGCAAAATAGGGGGTTTGTGGTGTGGGGTTTTTTTTCCCAAAGAGCAATTAACTACAGAGCTATTCTAAATTATTTGTTGTGAAACAAATCTCTTCGTGCGAATGCCATGTTCCAAATAAAAACTACTTCATTTTCAGAAGGCACAGCACAATTGTCCCAGATTAAAATCACTTGCTCTCTGGAATTATTCCTGAATAGTTAGCTACTTTTAAAGAGCTATTCAGAAATATTTTTACTGGTCAATTTACCCTGTGTTGACAAGCCTTAATACCCAGGTCTTTCCATTTAAATAGTTAGGCAAAGCTAATAAAAACTTGTAGCAGTCAGAACTTCTTCAGTGATAAAAGTTGCTCACATGGGCAGAATTTTTACAAGGTATTTGGAAAACTTATTTAATCCTAATTTCCATTTTTAGTTATGATGTTCTGAAGCCTTAGGTGGGCTTTCCATTTTTTGTATAAATAAAAATAAACCAGTACAAGTAAACCGATCGTATAATCATATGATCGTAGGCTTGATCATATAACTGGTTTATGTGTATGAGCAACTTTGCCTGTGTGAGCAGACCTAATAGGATTGTTTGTGTGAATACAGTTACTCAGTAAATATTTGCTACCTTAAGCTTTAAAATATCTAAGGGAGAATTCTGTATAAAATGGTCTCTGCTGTTTAAATTTGGTGCTGAATAATAAAGATATCTTCTTTTTTTTTATTTCCTTGGTGACATAGGGGGGTGCACTTCTCGGAGGCATCAATGCCTTACACACCTCATTTCCAGAAAATCCAATGGCGCAGTACCGAACACAGTGTGAACTCATATTGGAGCGACTGGAACTGCAAGGTCTTCTGCACAAAGAGCTACAAAGACTTGACAGGTTGTAATATGCAAAGTAACAATATAATTCAATAGTGAAAAAGAATTGTTTGACAGTAATATCTGGAGAGGGTCTGAAAATAGAATCTGACATTGGGAAGGGACTTGTTCTTTAGAGGACATGGATAAGCAGGGAAATTGTTTTAAAGTAGCACTCTCATATCATCACAAGATCATTTCTCCATCTGGGTTATGGAATTTACAAAGAATTTTAGAACATTTTAATCAGTTCCCAACTCATATCTTAATTCTATGCTCAGATAAGTTTCAGTGGAGCTTCTTAGGATCAAAATGCCAGATTCTGTAGCTGAGCAAATAATTTTATCTAACCTTTTGTTATTTGCTTGGTAAAATACAGCAGATCTGCTTCGTATTTTTTAAGACTTCTTTGTGTTGGGCTTGTGAGGAACCTTCCCTTTCTGTTAATGGAAAATATAAGCCTGAATCAAAGTTCTGTTTTTTTGGGTGATACTTCTGTTTTACATGCTGGAATTTTCACTGTCTCTTCTCTAGCTTTCAGCTCACTGCAATAATCTTTGGAAAGTCTACTTGCTGTTATTAATAGAGAACTTTTAACATACTGAGGCTGAGAGGAAAACACTAGGATTGGAAGGAAATAAAATACAAAAAAGTAACATTTGTTTCCTGAAATAAGATTAGGCTCTAAAGAAACTCATATTTTCATATTGTTAAAAGAAGATAAAAGATCAATGTTATTGAAGCTAATGGAAACAGCTAGGAAAATACACTTTTTCCTTTAAATATTTTTCAGACTTATTTTGTAACTCATAGTAAGGACCTCTTAAATAACCACAGAGGCAATAAAAGCAGATGAAAGTGGGATATCTCCAACAGACAGGCAAAAGCTAGTTTTAAAACAGAGGTGTTTGTAAGGCATCATGGAAATGTAGGATGGGATGGGAGATCAAATACAAAGGCAGGATCAGGTCTGCGTTTGACCTTCCTGGCAGGGGCTTGTGTTATCTGCTCCAAAGGCCAGCTAATGAGGAGGATTTTCCATTGCCATTGGGTAGTCTGTTCCATTATTGCTCCATCCTAATGCTTATAAAGGTTTTCCCAATATCCCACTCAATCCCCTATGCTGCAAATTAAGTTCATTTCTTCTTCCCCCTCTTAAGCAGCTTAGAGAATACTAAATGAATGTCCTCTTTAAAACAGCCTATTCTGTATTAGAAGACTTGTCCCATGCGTTCTCCCTAAACCATATTTCAGTAAAACAAGCCTGTGTCTTTCAACCCTTCTTGATAAGTCAGATAATTTCTGCTACTTTCCATCAAAATTTTAAGAATGAGCATATTAGTAAATAATGATAATAATGATTCTAAATCATACCTGTCAATATAGTGTTCTCCCTCATATAGCAGAGGAACTGTTTGTAATGCCTAGGAATCATTTCATCTGCACTGATGCAGTCACTTTTGGGATGGAATGTGGCTGCTCTTCACTTATGGTTAGAATCACTATTTAGCAAAAAGTAGAATGCTGTCTTCCTTGGAAATTATGTGTTTAGGTACAATATCAGCTATACTGAGATTGGAGGGAACTCTCATTCTGGCACCTCTTGTTTTGGAGGGCCCTGAGAATATTAATACCTACAGACAGTGATAATGAATTTTTATAGGTGATCTGAGATGCTTTCAGTGGAATTTTTGACATCTTGAGGCCATAGTGATTGTGAGAGAAAACCACCAGTAACCACTATTCCAAGTAATACCTAGATTTTCCATTCTGATAACGCATTTGAGGCTTTCCCTTACTCAGGATAAAATCTAATGAGGTTCCTGTTCTAGAAGAGATACTTACAGAATATGTAATCCCTAAGGGACTCTATCAATGGCTCTAAGTAGCACAAAGCTGTTTGTTTGGTTGGTTTTTTTTCTGTTTGGTTTCCCAAGGAAATGAAGTTTAGGTGGTTGCTTTCTTTGTCTATCTGCCTATCTTCTACTGGGGACACTAAATTCTGCCACTTACTATAGAAGGTGCTGAAAGATCACAGACTGCAACACCAGCTTTTGGAGCTATATATGAAACTTAATAATGCACTTTTGTGACCTACATTGTTTGTAGCTTTTCACCATTCGTACATATTAAGCATCACTGATGCAATAAAGAAAGAAAGAAAAAGAAAAATAAATTACTATAGCTTAGGTTTTTTTTCATTCCATAGATTACAAAAGGAAAATTCATGCCAGCTGCAGCCTGAAGAGACAAGTTTCGGTACTACTACAAGATGCTCAAGCAAGGACACATTTGGGCAGTCAAAGCAAATGTCTCAGTCAGAACCTTCAAATCAACAAGAGAATAATGCCAGACCACAGCCGCCTTTGCCCGAAGGCAGCTGTGAAGTGAATATACATCTAGAATCCTTGTGCAATCCAGCACATGGTAATAACAAAAATACAAACCACTTGATTAAACATAGCAAGAGAGGTGATGATGGCAGCCTGGCATGGTTTGACAGCCTGGAAGAAAGCAACACTGATGCTGAAGAAACTTCTCAGAAAAAGTCTCCGGTGCCCAAGATATCTCCAGATAACTTGGCTTCAAAAACCCCGTGTAAAACATCCTGCTCTGAAGAAAGAAGTGCTTCAGTACCAGGGCAGGGAAATGGAATGAGAGAGTCACTAGCAACTGTGAATCTCCATGCTCCTTTGGAACAGGACAAAGTTTCCAAGAAAAGCAGGAAAAGAACTGAAGAACACAGCTGTTTTTCTTCAGAAGCAAGTATTCAAGACCAAGCCTCACCAAGTACTAGTGTGCAGGACTCAGTTATTACGCAGCGAGTTTCTAAAAGCTGGCAGAGACTGCACACAGAGAAATCACATGGATTCTTTACAAGTACACAAGACCCCGAGGCGAAGGCCCTTCCTTCAGTATTACCTGCGTCTGGCCTGCCAGATCTTTCAAGTGATGCAGATTCTGTGCTACAGGAAGAAAAGAACAGCGTATCTGTAGCAGCCAAAACTGCAACAATTTCCATGAGAAAACGAAGTAAAGGTCAAGTGGTGAAGGAAACAAAGGTAGTAGGTTCCCATGAGCCAGAAATCCTTGACAGTGAAAGTCCTCCAACAGCTAAACTAGCTAAATTTTCTTTCAGACCAAGGACAAAACTTGATCATTCTTCAGAGAAGAAAAATGAAGAATTTTCTCTTTTTCAGAGTGAAACTATTTTTAAGCCTGGAGAGCAGCTCCAGGGAGAGCAGCTGCCAGAAGAATGCTGCCCCCCTGAGAAATGCAAGATGACATTGACTCATTTGGAAAAACGATCAATTAATAATAAAGGGAGAGAAGAGCAACATTAAGAGGTCAGAGGAAATGCAACAATACGCTCTGATGTCAGTTTTAATGTTGTGTTGTCTCCACCCACTGAAAAGAAAAGGGAGGGAGGGGAGAAGCTTGGTGGCCCAAGCACTGGGAAGGTGCGCGCCAGCACATTAGCCAAACTGTCGACGTTCTCCTTTGCATCACGTCCTGGGTCAAAACTGGAAACCTCACCTACCATTGAGATGGACACTAACAAGGAAAGCCATAGCCCGCTGCTGAAGGTGCACGTGAGCAATCCTAGCAGAAGGAAGACTTTTGCGTTGGGAAATGCTAGTAAAACCAGTGTGGTCACACAGAAATCTCTCTTCTCGATAGCAGAGCTAGATGATGCTACATTAGATTTTGATTGGGATGAAGAGGTTAGGAAAAATCCAAGCACATAACATGTATATCCTCCAAATCACTTAACATGCAGTTCTTCTGAATCTCCATCCTTCTATCAATTGTATCTGTAGTTTACAAAGCATTTAAAAACAATCATCCTGGACCTCTGTTGATACCATGAACATACTTTCTTTAAGGGCCGTATGCTAAGGACTGCATATACTGCAGGCCTGATGTGGCTTTGAGTTTTCTAAACTCTTCCCAAGAGTACTTATATCAGTTGACTGTTTTGATTGACCCGACATAACCTGAAGACTTGTATGATTACGGTCATGTATCCAGAGTATAGTGAATCTTGCCGAAGAGCAGGCTTAATTGACTGTTATCTTTTATTTCATGTAACGGTTAGGACTATGCATGATTCAGATTGTCCTTCCAAGTGAGTGTGCCACTTTAGAAAAATGATGATGCCAGAGCTATGTCATTATATTATGTTCGTCTATATAAGCTGTTTGCCTTGGCGTACTTAGCAATATTGTGATTTATCATCATGCTATGGTGAGTATCTCTGTATTGTCAGTATCATGACAGTTTTACTGCATCTGTGGTTACTGTACTCCTTGTCACACTGCTGATGTTAAAGACATGGATTGAGAGCTTTTTGTTTCTGTTTTTTTAATTTCAATTTTAAATACACTGGTTCAGGTATCTGTGTCTGTATTCTGGGTCATTTTATCAAAACCTAACTCTGTAATAAACATACAGTTCTCCACTGCAGAGCCAACAAATTTCAGGTCATTGAATTGGAGTCCTCAGTAACCAGGGTAACTTTAATGCAGGCATTAAGCCCTGGCATATAAGCTACACTTAAAACCTAGCAGCATGGTGAAGAGCTACCCTAGTGTAGCTTTCTTCTGACTCAGATAACATTTACTGGACTATTTTAATTGTGATTAGAGTTTCACTGCATCTGATATGCAGTTCATCTTCTGTAGCATGCTGCATCCTGTGTCATTCATTTGTCTAATGGGAAATTAATCTACAAATGCATTATGTGTTTACAGAGAAAAGTAAGCCTTCCATTTCTTCCAGTGACTTGCCTGGTGTGTTTCTTCTGTATTTGAATTCTCCACAGAATATTCTTGTTATTACCTGCAAGGTAAACAGAGAATGGAGAGGTAAATCCTTTGAGAAGCTTGCTAGCACAAAGAAGATCTGATTCTCTTTTGATTTGCTTAAATTTAGAAGTAGCTCCCTTGAAACCAGCAGAGTTAAAATACTGCAAAGTTTTGGAGAATGAGGGAGTGTGAGGCCTGAGTACTTTGATGTGATACGGTAAAATGATGAGAACAGTAATTATAGTAGTTGACTTACTGTTAAGAGTTTCGGGAGATGACACAAACGTTACTGTCCAGACTGACTCTATGGTAGTTCCTCCACTGGAAACATGACGTCAATCAAAAGAAGAGGAATTTATCCACCTCCCTCCCAGAGCACAGAGCCACCCCTTCCTGTTCCTTCTCACAAAGACCTATGCCAGTCTGAGGGTGACCTGCACTCATGATCCTACTGCCCCTGAAAATCAGAAGTTTCCTACAGGGTGATGTGGCTACACTGAAACTGGAGAACAGTCAAGAATCCTGGAGCTATTAACATTTATGATGGTCTTCCTACTTGAATTTTCACAGGCCAGGTAAAGGCATAGCTTTTCATCACCACTGGAGCTGCATCAGCCCCTTGCATGGTGGTCTCATTTACAATCAAAAATCCTCCTTGCTAGCTGGTTTGATGGGTGTGACTAGCTGGCCCGTGCAAAGCCAGAACATAGCTACTGGATCCCCATTGTCAAGCATCATGAACTTTTTTTACCATGCAAAATGGTAAAAAAATTAGTCAAGAGAAATTTCACCCACCTATGCTGGAAGTATCATTTTATTCATCGCTTTCCTATAGATCAGTAGCTAGGGCCTCATCGAATGTAATTTGCAACGTAAAGTTGCAAATGTGATGAGCTGCTCCCAAGAACTGCAGGACCTCTTCCTAAATATTCTTATGTGGGAAGCTAGTTGACTTCCTTCCCTCTGGCCAGTGGAAATGAGAATTCTCTTGAACTCAGCGGAGTCATAGTGGCACAAAATTGAGGTGAAAGTCAAGCTCAAAATTTCCTTCATATTCTTCATGCTTATGCTGTGTTGGAGAAGGTTCTGGTTTTTATATTCTGCTTGTTTCAAAGTTGTTGCACTGTAAGATCTGCCTGAGGACCAGGGCAACTACACAGTGAAGTCGAGCAGCCGTGTTTCGGGAAAGCTGAAACACCAGGTAATGCAGACAGCTGTCTTCCTTACTAATGAAACGTGAAGTTTCATGAAGCAAGGGAATGCCCAGTTAGCAACAACTGTGGGAACTGGGCACTCACATTCCCGTGGTGTCCTCAGACTTGTGCGTAGATCATTGCAGCTGAGTAAATGGAAGATAATTAAACCAAGTTTATTTTTTCATAGATGAAAAATGTTTCCTCTGATCCAGTAAAACTCAGCCTAGAATACTGAGGTACTGTAGGTCCCACAGTCATACAGTACTAATCACATTTGTGGTCCAGTTGAGCAGTTTGGCCGATAAAATACTGCTAGATCCCTGTTTTTCAATTAATCTGTTTTGAATTAAAATCTACAATTTAACTGTTCTTTTAAAGCACAGTCAGCAGAGCCATTAACAAGCTGGGAACTTGCTGGAGACTGGATCTCTTAGGCTAGGCTACCTGATGTGCCTAGCACCTGGTGGACTCAAGCAGTTCAGTCTACTGCCGGACCTTTGGGCTATATGCTTTCATTGCCTTGGAGCAGTACAACCAGGCAAGGTATGTATATTGAGATATCTGAACTTGGAGGAGGATAAATGTGTGAGCTCTTCCGCAGGCTTGCTGAAATTCCCAGACAGCAAGAGGAAAGTTGCAGCAGCTTCCATTACAGCGTGCCTAGAAAGGGCCCCCGATGCTTATCAGAGAACAGAACCCGGAAGGATAAAGAAATACCACGGCATCTGAGCTCCTGCTTAACGTGGACAAATGAGCCCACTTAAACCAAGATTTTCACTAGTGAGTGCAAACTCTGTACATTCATTCTTTAATGGGCGCCATTTGTAAGGCCTGATTTGCAGATGTCCTGAGTACTTAGCAGCTGAAGCTTAAATCAATGAGCTGTGTAAGGTGCAGTGTAATTATAATTTTGCTCTTCTGTCTTCATCTCTTTCATATTCTTGGTTGTGAAATGGCCCCTTCAAGAAGAAATGGTAGTGAGTGGTCTCGCTTAAGATACCCAGTGTTCTGGGGGTAGAGGAGACAAGAAAGTGATACAAGTTCAAATCTCTTCTTGCTGAGGACATCTGAGAACCTAAGACCTCACATTTTAGAACCTGTCTTTACTAGATTGCAACTCAAGCTTGCATCCCTCAAAACAATACCTTTGAGCACATCAGGACAGATTTGATAATGCCCAGGAGACTTTTCCATATCAGTGAAGACATTTTGTCTATAGAGCTACGCAGAGAGCATGGCTGGGTTGCTATATCTACCACTTAGATATGTTTTAAGTATCTAAAGCCAAACACATACTGTAGAATTTAGGCAGAGTGCATTCTGTCATTCTTTGTAGTGTCTTAATGGTTAATAATTTTAAAATGTTGGATAGTTTATCAGTAAAAAGAAAGTTGTCTCTTCAGATTCCCTGGATTAGAGGTAGTCGGTGTGTTATGTTTACGAAATGGAACTATGCTTCTTTATTGAGCAGAAGTTTTTGAGATCTGAAGGATCTGTTTCTCCCTTTCATATAACATGAGGAATGGAACAAAAGCCAAAAGGAATCAAGGAAGGATAATGCAGACTCTGACGTCACTCTGCTGGAAGGCCACTTGGGCAGCTTTGTTTCCCAGTTAAAAACAAAGAGGAGGCACAGGGACACTATGCAGCTTGCAGAAAGGCCCATCTTTTCTATATTAGCAGAAAAAAAGCACTGTTGTCTTTTCAAACGGTCTGCAAGGAGGTCCTAGTCACCCAAGTGTGTTGGGTAGGTAACCAAAGAATAAATTTGGAAGAGCAGATACTGCTGAGATCTTTCTTTACCAGACCAGTTGAAATACTACTGTTGTGGTATTGCTTCTGATTCATAGCATGAATTCAGAGCATTCAAGATAAATGAGAAGCACACAGTAATAAGAAAATTATACCTGCTGCTCATTTACTCTCTCCCTCACCGTTGCCATTGCTACAGAACCCATTTATCAGTGCCATGGCAGAGAACATTGCTAACTTCTTTCGTTTCCCTTTTTAAACCAACTTCCCCCACAGACAATCATATGTTTTAATGTTTTTTGAGTGCCACAATAGCCCAATGATGGGAGGATTTAATCTTTTATGGCAGTGACAGTCTGCTGGGCTAACCTACACATGAATTTCCTCTGCAAGTACTTTGTGCAGTCAATGGGCAGATGAGTCACTTCCTGCCAGCCTGCCTTCCTGGCCAGGCACGGAGCCATTATCTCCTTCATGTTTTAACACTTGCCTCTCTGAATTTCTGATCTAGGAATAAAAAAAAAAGTCCAATGTGTCTTCTCAGAGTGATAACAAATATACATCAAACCAATTACTACTGTTGAATGCACTAGTACTTTATTAAGCTGTGTTTTATCTTTATGAATCTGGTTCATTAAAGGTGAATATATATGCTGCTGTCTTAAAACCCACTTGAACTAAACCTTAGAAGTCACTAGTTTAGCAGCACATTGATCAGGTCTTCATTTGTGAGCAGCAGTGAAATGCTGTTCTTAGATGCTCAGTGGCCAGACTCCATTGCCTCGGTTGAAACCAGATTACGTCATGTCAGCGTGGGACGAGATCAGGGTTTTACTGGCAGCTGTTCCATAGTACTGTTCTCCTGGATGGCCCATGCAGACATGCTGGTGAGTCAAAGGGAGGTGGAAAGCAAAAAACCCAACAATTTAATTACGTTTTTATATTGTTTAATTACATTTTTGTGTAAAAAAATGCTTCATCATAATTCTTTTA